CGTTTATAAAGCAAGCGAAGCATAAACTTAACATCAGCTGTAAATTTATCCAACAGTCTGATTTTCTGCCGTGTATTTAGAACCGCCTGAGCAAATATCCTAAAGCTTATACATCATTTATAGACTTTAACTCAGTTACTTTGCAACCACTGGACATCACCTGTATCTGTTTATGGGTCTGTCCACCTTTGATCTGAAATGACAAGACACATCCAGTCAGGAGGAAAAAACTACAGGAATTATGTATTATTATACGTTGGACTGACAATAAGAGAGCAACAATAGCTTGTTAGCTTTTAGTCATCCCACAACAAGAAGGTTTCTGGTTCAAGTCTTACGTGAAGCATTTTCGCAACAAGTTATTGAGTCTCTTTTTGTTTTTTGTGTCCGATTTCGTCCCACAGCAACATTTTCAGATGTTAATTGTAAAACAGGAGACGTTTGCTTCATTGAGGAAAAAATGTTTTAAAGGTCTTCAAAAGCTTATTTAGCTTTATTTTAGATTTCTTCTTTGCTGGTCATTCAGAAATTATTTGAGTTAAGAGAGAGTTAATATAATTTACGAGGTTTGTTAACATTTGAATAAGCTAAGGAGAGAAGTGAAATCTAGATGCATTTCAGTTATCGGCGTGAAACTGTGGATTAAACTGAATGATGATCTCAAATTTTGAGCTTTTTTGGTGCTTTAAAAGAGCCTTAAAATGTAAAATTATAGACGTTTATACTGTTATGTAGATGCATATATGTATTGTGTAACCATGTATGTAATTTGTATGTATGTATATACATGCATATTTAAATATACGGCAAATGTCTGTACGTGTACTTATATATGGACAGTAGATATATTTCATTATGTAGACTGTTGCGTCTTTGATTAGGGTAGGTAAGTATAAGCCTTGGCTTCAGCCTATTCCTTTCTTAGTAAATGATTGATTTACCAGTTTATATTGTTTTCCTTTTTGTAAAGTTTTTAATTTAACTAAATAAAGTTGAGTTGATTATTCTCTGTTTTTTTTTATTTGTTTTGATATTTTTTAGAACGGTCCAACATCTATTTCGACTGTTTTTTACAGTTTTCGCAGTAAATCGGTTCGGTTCCTTTCATCTGGGTGCGCTTTTCGAATCTTCCCAACTTTGATCGTTCGAGTTAACATCTATATCTCATCGTAACCAACAATGAAGCTGCAGAGTAGCGGAGACAGACTTCATGTCAGATGGTTTTTATGTGTTTGACTGGTAAAGTCATCAGATAAAACCGGCTGTGGGGGCAACTGGGGGCCGACTCTTTCTCTCCAAATGCCTCCCAGACATGGTGAAGTCTGTGACAGTATCTCTCCTGGTGAGCTGCGCTCTGTGATGAATGAACACTCCTCCATTCTTTGTCGCCGCACTAAATCACAGGCTTACGATGTTTTTATGACCACTTTTTTTGATGGGGGGGGGTGAGGGGGATCTTTGTTTTACTTACCAACTGTTTTGTGAATCAAATCCAAAAGCCGTGGATTCTATTTTTGTCAAACGTTCACCAATTAACTTCAATTCTTTATCGTCATCATTTAATTATTTATTCTTTGTTTTTCAACTTGTATTTCTAATAGTCGTCATGTGTTGCTCAAACATGTATATAATATTAGAAAAGTACATTTTGGAGGTGAATAAAGGTCAAACTCATGATTTTTTTTTAGAGAATTTGGGATCCATGGATTAAATTATCCTGGTCTTTAAGCTCAGTTTTTTATTATATTTTATTTTGAATCCCTCAAAGTGACTATAGTACTGTTCACCACCTAAACAGTTTGTTCATACAAGATGCTGTCAGTTGTTCTTGCAGGTTTACTCTCACTCATGCGACCATATTACAGTCGTTCTTTTATTACTTTTTGGATATTTTATTTGCTCCAGCAAAATGATTGTACATTTTGGATTTTATTTTTTAAAGAAAACAATGTGCACATTTTTAATGTATATTGGATTTTCTGAAAATAGCACAGGGTCACAATTATACAAGCAAAGTCAAGAGCGTACATTTGATACAGCTAGTGTTTGCTTGAACGGCCTTTGGCAAGTTGACCTTTGACCTGACATTTCTGGTGGCCCACAGAACCTAAAGGCAGAACTATGGTTGGATATTTAACCTTCTTGGTATAATTGACAGACGTTTAAGCCTTCTGGAAAGATTTTGATGTTTAAGCACAGTCCACGCATTTTCCTAAAAGTTTGAGGTCAGGACCTTTAGATGTATATTCGAAAAGCTTAATGTTTGTCTCCGTTTGCATTAAATATTCTGACATGTTGGAACACCTAACTGAATCCAAAACTAAGCTCTTTTCATTTGCCATGAGACCTTTAGATAAGATTCAAATGTATTTTTTGCATGGCATGCAGAGAATGAACCCAAAAGCAACAAGATACTTAACAGATAACTTGATGTTTGTCTCATCTTAATGAAGAAAAAAAGAATTCTAAAGAATTTTAATTTATTTTTTTTGTTGGCTGCAAACTGTAATCAATTTCAAACTTGTTTTTTTTGACGTTTGTCAAATAATTTGTTCAGAAATGGCATCAAGAGACAAATAATGACATGAATGTTTCCCAAAGTTTGGGTCATGGCCCCACTAGGGCTTCAAAACACCACGTTTGAGGTCTTCACATCTTCTTCTTCTTCCAACTGTTCCCTCTTCAGGGGTCTCCACAACGAGTCGTCCTTCTCCATCTCACTCTGTCCTCTGCGTCCTCTGTCCTCACTCTGTCCTCACTCCATCTACCTCCTTGTCCTCTCTAACTGCCTCCACTTACAGCTTGGGGTCTTGAGAAGATTTTCAAAAACAAAATGAAATATAAAAATATTTGCCAAATATACTTTTTGCCACAATTGTCATGAGAAATAAAATGTGTCGTTAGTAATCAATAAAAAGGGATAAAATTATGTTTTTCACATTATATCCATATATAGTTGGGGGTCACTGTTAGTCTGTGAACGTCTATAATCATCTTTCTCCAATTTGCTCTGTGCTCATTTAGACATCCCCATTACTTTACGTCAGTCGGGTTGACTTTACGTACAATTATGTCCCTGTGTTAATATTTTTAAATATTCCAGATTAGATATACTGTAGTGTATAAAATTTCTGTCCCAATTGTGAACCTAATTACACTCTTAATAATCTTCCTTGTTGTGACTGTAAATAATGGCAAAAGCTCTCAAATATTATACTAAACAATAATTTCCATCCCTATATAATGTATTTTAAAAGCTTTAATGATAAAGTACTTGAACATGCACATAAATCGAGTCCACGTATGAAAACGAGACAGGTTTGGATGAATGTGGTGTACTCTGTCTCCCCTTAGTGACCAAAGATAAGTCTGCCTGTATGAGAGGGATTCTCTTTGTTTACAGGGAAACAACATACAAGGGGAGAGAAATAATCACTTATATATATATACATACATATATATATAATAAACACTTTTTGTTGTAATACATCAATAACATTTCTAAACTAAGAAATCAAATTTGCAGGAGCTTGCAGGCTATAACATGTACGTGGTGTTTTTTAATGTATAAACTGCAATCAATATTCATAAATCTTTATATCCCTTTGCTAATCGTCTCACAGACCAGAGGAAGCGTTTCAGCAGTCCTCCTACGACCTGGTGGTTTTTACGATCTATCAATCACTTAAATAAAGCTCGACTGCATGAGCCACTGCCAGGGGAGGTCTGACCCGCGGCCTGCATGACATTGAAGGAAGGAATAACGCTCGCCCAGGAAATCCTATTAAACCAGAGTACGATGGCTACCGTCACTGAGGAAGCTCGTATGTGGACTGACATATAATTTGTTATAATTTGTGAAAGAGCACACTGTCTACATGCACCTTTATCCACGTTTTTAAATTCTTTGTATGATTTTCTTCTTTGTACTCGGACATCGTCCTCATGTCTGTGTATAAGACCATGTTTAAACTTTTAATTTCAGTTTGTCGAAATGTAAAGCCTTCTGCAAACGTTGCATCCATGCCACTGAACATGCAGGGATGCATTGTGTTATTTAGCAACACATTTTTAACACATTGATCTGACTTTAGAACATCTTCAGCTTGTTTATCATCCTAATTCACTTGATTATTTTGATCAGCTGCACATTCCAGGTTGTAGACTAAATGTCTGGGATACGAAGGCATCTGTGAAGATTCAGCAGTAATCAAAAAAACAAAAACACACTTGTGTTTTCTGAATCAAAGGAGTTTCGCATATTTTCTCTGCATGCAATAGGACTCCAGCGGTAATCAATACCACCAAAGACATGTTTATGAGTAAAGATGAATAAAAGCTGGGTTTCATCATAAGATTAAATTCTTTTCATCAACACTGAGACAAAAAAAAATCACTATCCTTGGTAATCAAATGTCACATGTGCCTCCTGCAGTGAGGCATTTTATTGTATCATTTACCTAAAAACTTAAAACAAAAGGTTAATCAAGCACCATCCAGTCTTTTCAAGTGCCTGCCGCTGTTTGTTTGTACTCCGTAACTCGCCTGTGTGGTATTGATCGCCCAAGCTAAGAGAGCGCTGGGAAGATTTTCACATTTTTGAAAAAGCATCCCACATGCAACCTTTGAACACTTTTTTGTCTTCATTGACTTTTTAAAATCACATCGATTTCTCTTTGGAAGGAAGAGTTCTGTTTTTAAAATACAGCTAATGCGCCTGATCAGTTTGTTGTTTTCACAGCGACTCTTATCAGTCTCTGAACTTTCACCTTTACGTGCTCAACTGGTATCTCGTTTTAAAGAAGCAAACAAGCTGTGGAGTAAACCTCGCCGCTGAGAGGTCACTGAAAGTGGGACATCACAGAGGAAGCTTTGCAACGCCGCCACAAGAACATGAGAAATAACGTTTTTAAAGAAAATTAGCAGCACACAAAGAAGATTTTAGACACATTTGCAAGAACAGAAAGGATTTGAACTCATCTATGAAGAACTGTGACAAAGAGGAACTGAAGGGAATAAACGTTCTGCCAGTTTGCAGCTTGGGGAAGTTTTGCTGATCAAAAACTCTTGAAAATTTGTTTTATTGGAACTATGAAGCTTGATGGGACGGTGCTTTTCGCAACAGACACTGAACATTTTAACTCAACACTGAGACCACGACAAACAAATCCTACAGGTATGACGATAGCGCCTTTGTTCAGATTTACAGGATTGGCTTTCATAGAAAAAAAAAAGGTAAATTTGAAACACTTGGGGCTCCGCTTAATTTAATATATCAGCCTAATTTGTGTCAAACTCAGTTTAGAACTCATCACTGATTTACTTTCTGTCACCAAGTCCAAGGTTTGGCTCTCCTGCTCAAATATGAATAGTATCAACCTTAATAAATCAATAAAAATGATTAAAGTATGATATTGTGGTTACGTAAACAATATTTTCAGGTCAATATTAATTAACATTTCATAATTCCTCAATCATCTAACAATCAGTCAGTCTTCTCATTAATCCTGTGTTAAGCTGCATCAGTTTAAACCAAGCAGTTTCACCATCAGGCCGCTCTTCAAATCCGTAAAACTGCGAGGCAAACCGTATTCTAATCTCTTAATTCAATCTAACTGATCTTTGACCACAGAAAGCGTTTTCCTTGTTAAATCCTAATCCCCAGCTGCCTCATCTGTCTAAACGAAGTGTGCAATTTGCAGACGTTATTGCCTGGGGTCTGTACAGTCTCTGCTGCAGCGCTTGAACACCGGCTGCGTGCACTTTGGAGCAACACGTACGAAAGACTAAGTGCCCTGTGTGAAATTAGCCAAAGGAGAGTAGCGGACTTTGGTTCACACTGACCTCTAACTGTTCTAATTAAATGGAGAGTTTTCTCTTCCTCCTGAGTAATAACTGGCAGAGCTCCTCAGAGGCTCTTGGCATTCACACGGAGCAGAGATAAGTTTCCAAACTGTATAACCCTGCTTTTAATATTCTCACACTGAACCTAACTGACCTATAAAACAATACCCAAATGATTTGCAGGTTCTGAAGCTGTGCCCTTGCACCAAGCTACTCCCTCTCACCGAGGTGGAATTAGTCTTAACGTGCTCGAAATGATCAAATGGATCATCAGTGATCACCTCAGTCACGGAGCATGTTTAATAAAGCTGGTGTTCTCAGACTCTCAGAAGTTTCTGTGCTAAAACAAAAGTCTGTGACTGTTTTTATCCGTTTTTTAAGCTGCAGATGCATCCATGTCAGCATCCGCCTCTTCAGTGCCTCAGGCTGATGGAGGTGGAAGTCAGTGTTTTATCTGTGCAGACAGGGCCACAGGTAAACACTACGGTGCATCCAGCTGTGATGGCTGCAAGGGCTTCTTCAGGAGGAGCATTCGCAACAACCACACGTACAACTGTAGGTGAGTTTCATCGTAGCTCCTCTTATAAACATAAAACTTTAGTCGGCATTATTATTCTTTTTTTATGACCTGAAAACTTTGAACATTTTATGGAAAAATCTTGCAGGCAGACAGTGTAATGTAAATGTAAGATTAAAATGTGTTTACATGTGTCTTGTTCCAGGTTCAACAGGCAATGTGTTGTGGACAAAGACAAACGAAACCAGTGTCGTTACTGCCGACTGCGAAAATGTTTCAGGGCTGGGATGAGAAAAGAAGGTCAGAAGCAAGACTTTCCTTTTGTTTCTCTGTTCATATCACCTTCTGCGTTCAGCATACAAACTCTTCATAAACCATGTGCATAAATGTTTTAAAAATGTGAAATTTTACTTTTGTGCCTACAACGCATCATGCTTATTTCAAGGAGGAAAACACAAACAACCAAAGAAGAATGTTTTATCAGTTGATGCTCAGTTCCATGTGTGCTGTGCAAATCATTGGCCTTATCTTTATCTGACTCACCGGGAGAAAGAGATGGAATCAGAAGAGTCTACTCCCCACACATGAATAATTAAAATTCTTTAGCATCTCCACATGTTTGTTTTGCATTTTCTCTGAAGATGTTACTCTCAGTCCTCTGAATGAAAGCCAGAGGCCCAAATTTAAACTTTTACCTCAGTAATTTGCCTGATTTCCATAACATGCTGCAACTTGCAATTTAAGCCTGAAGCAAACGTGCATTAGAATCAAAAAAGCAAAGCAAAACACAAGACTCCTGGATATTTCTCTATTTTTACTTGACCTCTGAGCACACTTTGACTGTTTGCTGCAAATCTAAATCTAATTGATGATGTGGGAAAAGGTTCATTTGGAACTTTGTCAAACAAAAAAAATGTCAGTGAAGCTCAGAGGGAGCCGGCAGCTCCTTCTGCTCCAGTGTAGTCTGATTAATGCGCTCGCAGAGGCTGTGATGAATGATTTCTGTAACGCTCACTCATGATGTTTGACTTTGTGGAGTCACTGAAATCAGTCAGAGACCATCCAGAATGATGTGGATAAAGGTTCTTACAGAAAAGTCATCAAAAATCAATATCTCCTCGACACAACATATTATACACCAGCAAGATTTTGTGCATTCACTTTGATGTGTGTTATCAGTAGCATGCGTAGCATAGTGTATTGAGCATGCATCAGGATATTATCATCCATCCATCCATTTTCTTTACCCGCTTATTCCATTTTGGGTCACGGGGGTCGCTGGTGCCCATGTCCAGCAATCACTGTGCGAGGGGCGGGTACACCCTGGACGGGTCGCAAGTCCATCACAGGGCCACATAGAGACAAACGAGACAACCATTCACTCTCTCACTCGCACCTAGGGACAATTTAGAGTTACCAATCAGCCTAACATGCATGTTTTTGGACTGTGGGAGGAAACCGGAGTACCCAGAGAAAACCCACGCATGCACGGGGAGAACATGCAAACTCCACCCAGAAAGGCCCCTGGACCGGGGTTTTGAACCAGGGACCTGCTCGCTGAGAGGCAGCAGCTCTACCAGTTGCGCCACCGTGCTGCCCAGGATATTATCAGTAGCTTTTATTTTATTTGTGTGTTTTATGTAGCTTTTCTTTTGTTGTTGTCAAATCAGACATTTAAATGTGTCTTCAAAGCTTCAATGAAATATTGGCTTCTGCAACTAAAATGTATCATTTTGGATAAACCATGATAAACAGCTTGATTCAAAACACACACGATAAAGTAAAACACCTAATTAATGTTTTAAATGTTCAAAGTGTGAGGATGGTGCTCTCTTGTGTTGTGTTCCTGTCCAGCTCTCCCTCTGTCAATCACTCCCTGCTTCCCACACCTGTGATGTTTTGTGATCAGGTCTCGTCAGTGTCAGTATTTAAGTCAGAGTCTTTGTGTTGATTGTTGTCCTGGCATTGTTTCCTGTGTTCCTTGTGACTCCAGAAGTCTTTGTAAGTTTGCTGCCCCACCAGCATTTTTGTGTTTTTGAAATAAATTATTTTCACCACCTGAATTCGGCGTGCTGCCTGCACCATTGGGTTCAACCCAACAGAACGTGACAGAATGCCAGGACCAAACCAGAGCCCAGCAGGTTGCCTGTTCTTGGCTTCACTCACCCCAGAGGATGAGAGACAACTCTGCAGAATCACCCGTCATTTTCGTTGATTACGTCATTACGGTGGTCATAGAGGACATGATCAGCAAATATTTTTGCTTTCCTGAAATTTTTGACTCTCGAGGAATGAAGGAGTTCCTAAACGAGGTGCTGGAGGAAAAAGTATGCTGGAGTCCATGCATCGACTGCCTGCTGCTCCCACCTCCAGCAAGCCCAGCGCTTCATTCGAGTCACCTGAGGGATCAGCTCCTCTCCACGTCTCTTCACGTCACCATCGAAAGAGGGGCTGACGTTGGACCCAAGCTAGGTCATCTGACCCTCCTCCCTCATTGCCCGCTCCCTCTAAATGTTCTGATGGGTGGTGGCTGCGATGGTACACCTGTCCTTTGTGTCTCTGAGTGGATCCTGAAGGACGAATCTCATCTTTCCCCCAAGAGGGTCCAGAAGATGCCTCCCACTGTTATTCCTCACATTCTGAGCTTACCTCAGAGGGCCCCACATTGGTGGAGGGCTCCATGTCTGCTGTGGGCTCCACATCTGAAACAAGTCCCAACTCTCCACCAGAGGTCTTCACACCATCTCCATCAGGTGTCTCCACACCATCTCCACTGGAGGTTGCCACATCTTCCCTATCAGAGAACTCCATACCTCCAGAGGTCCCCGAGTCTCCTGAGGGTCCCCGAGTCTCCTGTGGGTCCCTGAGTCTCCTGTGGGTTCCCGAGTCTCCTGTGGACCCTGAGTGTTCCACACCTGCATGAGAGGGTTCCACATCTCTATGAGAGGGTTCCATACCTCATGAGGGTCCTGAGTCTACAGAAGGTTTCCCGCATCATGAGGGTCCCGAGTCTGCAGAGGGTTCTATGCCTCATGAGGGTCCTACATCTCCAAGAGAGGCATTCATGCTTCCAAGAGGGTCATGTCTGCTGCAGTCCCTTAAGTGGCTATGCCCCCAGCTGGAGTACCAGAGCTAGCTATGCCCACAGCAGTTCCTACACTGCCTGCAGCACCTGAAGTCCCTCTGCTACCTACAGTGCCTGAAGTCCCTATGTTGACACAAGCTCCAGGGATCTCAATGCCAGCTACAGTCTCAGTGCCAGCTGTGGTCTCAGTGCCAGCTGCGGTCTCCATGCCAAATGCAGTCTCAATGTCAGCTGCGGTCTCAACACCAGTTGCTGTCACTACTGCAACCGCAGCTCCCCTGGTCTCTACGGTGACTACAGCATCCATGTTGTCAACTATAGCTGCAGTCCCCGAGGTATCTACACTAGCTGCAGATCTCCTGGTTCATCCCTCTATTCACCTCAGTGATGGACGGTCTCTCGGCCACCCGCTTGAACTCTGTCCCAGCGATGGACAGTCTCCCAGTGTTGGGCGGTCTCCCATTCATCCCTCTGAACTGTAGACCCATGATGGGCTGTCTCCCAGATGTCCCCCTGAACTGTGGCGCCGTGCTGGTTTTGGAGATGTCAGGGGACAGCCTTTTGTGTGTGTGTGTGTGGGGGGGGGGGGGGGGG